ACAGCATACGAAAAAGACAGAATAAAGGATACAAAAAAAGAAGAACAAATTATAAAATGAACAAAAAAAAAAAAACCAATAACAAAACATAGGTCCACTTTAGGAGGTCCTTGGGGGCCCCGTCCAGTGGGGATGTCCGAACGGCCGAAAGAATCGATGGTGCTAAATCCTGAAGTAGAGCTTCGCCGCCTTCAAAAAGTGCAGTACAGCTGCTTGAGTTGAGGGAACGTCTGCTAGCGTGTCCCGCTGGCAGGCAGACCGTGGAGGCAACGAAGGTACTCGAATTGTGGACATACGCATAACACGTGCTCCACCGTCGAAGGAATTTGGCAGAATTCACAGGTCTTCCTGAAATCCCGTGAGATTAGGGAGTGTCCTGTCCGGAGTCTGGAAAAAAAAATCCTCTCGCAGGTTTGCAAGGTCCGTCCACTTTCCGTGTCACCTTTAATTTTTCTAATAAACGGAAGTCTGGCACTGGACCATTCCGTTGCCCACGCTGTCCGCACTGTGCAAGTGATCCATCTCTTCACGTCTTGCAACGGTACCTTGTGCGAGTACCGAGGACCTGACCCGGCTATGTTGTCCGCTTCGATGTTCCCTGGGATCCCGCAGTGTCCGGGAATCCATGCGTATGTAGTGTTTGGTGGTGCAACCTTCAAGATGCCCTGGATCTAGGGGTGGACCGGGACCTCCGACGAAAGGGCCTGAATAACACTGTGGGAGTCCGACAGGATCAGGATTGGGCGATCCGCAGGAACCGTGGCGGCAAGAAGAATAGCCGCTGCTTCTGCCGAGAACACCGAACATTGTTTTGGGGGGCTTCTACTCGTTGGGGGAATGTCACCAGCGATTCCCATTCCGACTCCAGCTCTAGATCTTGACCCGTCCGTGTAACGATGCATGTAGTTTAGGTACCGATCTCCTAAGGGCTACGGAATTGTCCCCGGCTCTGAACTTCTCCTTTATCGGGCTGTCGATGTTTGGTGCGGGAGATTGTCAACTCTCCGTACCAGTGAATCTTGGCTACTGGGGGGAGCTCTGCGTTGGCGATTGTACGGAGAACTCTGTCCCCCTCGCTGAGGCGGCAGATTCTGTCGTTTCCGGCGGTATTTGCTGAAAATGGAGTGGCTTTGTTGGCAATAGCTGCGTAGATGCGGTACCGGAAAGGGAGAGTGCCGGCTTCGACACATCTGGCATCGGCTGGCGTCGAGGGTAGGAGACCGGAGATGAAGCTATTGTACACCGGAGCGAGTATTTGTATTGCCTTTTCGGTAGCGATGCATGTCAGCTTCAGTCCATACATCAGCCGGCTGTCTACGATGGTCCGGGCAACACGGAAACGTACTTCTCTGTTCTTGGACCGGTGGGAACGGGATATTGTCCGGATGAGGTTGATCCTGCTGCGACAGCTGGCCTTAACCCCTTGGAGGTGCTGTTCAAAACTCAGCGACCGGTCAATGACAACCCCCAGCAGTTTCACAGTTTTCTTCAATGGGATAGCTTGATCTTTATGGAAGGTCCGCAGACCCGATGTCGGTACTGGCAAACGTGGCACCTAGCGTTCTTTCCAGCAGACAGCTGAAAACCTTTCGAAGCGGCCCATCTAGCTACGGCGGAAACCTCTGCTTGGGCTCTAATCCTCGTTCGTCCCGGAGTTTGACCTGTGGCTACGATTAGCACGTCGTCTGCGTACACGCAAATGTAGATGTTCGCTGGTAACCGCTCGAAGACACTGTTCATGGCTACCAGGAACAAAGTGACAGCGATCACTGAACCTTGGGGAACGCAGGTTTCCTCGCTGAAGTGCGGGATTTGGTATTACCTACCGAGACTCGGAAGGATCTGCCAGTCAGGAAATTTTGGACGAAATGGATGATATGGCCGCTAAGTCCCCAGCTGACGAGTTGCTTCAGTACCGCGGGCGTTCCATGTACGGTTGAAGGCTTTCGCAATGTCCAGGGAAACCAACTCTGTATGGAGACCATTATCCTTGGCATCCTTGAGGAGCTCTCCTAGCGTCGCAAAATACGTAGATGTACCGTAGCCTTGCAAGAATGCGTGTTGGCGATGGTCTAGAAAGCCGCCAGACTCGAGAAACTGCTTCAGTCGTTGACCATCCGCTCGAAAACCTTTGCCATGCAGCAGGTGAGCGCAATGGGTCGGAACTTCACCACATTCCGTGTCGGCTTGTTTGCTTTGGGGATGGGGACAACCAAGCTCTCCCTCCAATGCTATGGATACGAGTCTGTCTGCCAAAGCTGATTGAAGAGTTCCAGCATTTTTACTTTAACCGGGATAGGCAGGTTCTTGAGCAGCGGGTAGCTGATCTCGTTTGGGCCGGCTGATTTCCCGTTGCTTCTACTAAGCGCGAACTGAAGCTCCTGCCAGGTGAAATCGTGGTTGATCCTCAGGTTGTTCGTGTCCGGAGAAACTCGAAAACTGCTTACGGACGAAGTCGATGGGTTTGCTAGCCGTTGAAAGGTCGCCTCGTACTTGGAAATCGCAGAGAGGTCAGCGAAATAGTCGGAGACTGCAGCGCCGTTTACCTGTATATGCAGTGTGGCCGTACGGCGCTTGCCACTGAGGGCGTTGACCTTACCCCAGAACTACTACTACTACTACTACTTACTTCTACTTTTACTTCTACTTCTACTTCTACTTCTACTTCTACTTCTACTTCTACTTCTACTTCTACTTCTACTTCTACTTCTACTTCTACTTCTACTTCTACTTCTACTTCTACTTCTACTTCTACTTCAACTTCTACTTCTACCTCTACTTCTACTTCTACTTCTACTTCTACCTCTACTTCTACTTCTACTTCTACTTCTACTTCTACTTCTACTTCTACTTCTACTTCTACTTCTACTTCTACTTCCACTTCTACTTCTACTTCTACTTCTACTTCTACTTCTACTTCTACTTCTACTTCTACTTCTACTTCTTCTTCTTATAATTTTAGTACTTCTTCTTCTTATTATTTTTCTTCTTTTTCTTTCCTTTATTCAACGTCGGTCTTTGAACCAAAACATCCGCAATACTTCGAGTAATTATTGCATTGCTCGAGCTCTTCAACAATATTCAATCGAATTTCGAATGATTTTCATATGGTTGAATTCGTCGTCAGATTAGGGCCCATGCATTCATTATGTCACGCTAAATCGAACAAAAAATTACCACCCCCCCCCCTCGTGACGTTTTTCCTATACCTAATGCATTGCTTGTCACAAAATCTGGATACAGTTACAGATATAAATTCCCTCCAGAGTTTACAGTTGCCTCACAGCGATATAAATGTGGAAAAGCTCAGGCGTCTACCTCTTAGTTCGCCTTTTTGACCACCTAAAATATTCATAAGTATTACCAGCAATCAAGAGTTAATGAACAATCAACAAAGTATCCTATTACACTAGCAACCCAGCAGTCTGATGCTATCATAATTTTCAGCAATGTCAGGAATGCTCACGAACCTCCAACATTAGCCAGAAAACTTACTACTTACTCAAGGTATCTTCCAAATAAGCTTCAAAATTGCATTTTTTTTATCAAATGTTAAATTCAGTCCTCTATAATCGCAATACGCGCACGAGGCTCAAACCTTTGTCGACAACTTTTTTTAATTAATCTACTACTATTAAATCAAATATTAAAAATCCATCATCACTATCGTGGTGAACAAAAATAGTTTTTACAGTGCTACAATAATTATTAAAAAGTCATTATGACAGCTATCCATCCATCCATGGGCAATAACCCGTTATAGATAACTTCGTCAAGATGCATAATTTGTCAATTCATAAAAAATCACTGGATAACTATTCAAAAGACAGTTTTAACGTGTGAAATGTAGTGTCTTTTAAATTCTGTAGGTGTTGCTGAACGTTTGATATGTCTAGGCATCGAATTGAAAACATTTATTCCCTTAAATATAATGAGTTTTGTGAAGCACAAGTCAAGAAATGTGGTGTTCTTATTTCAACCGAGTTTCTGGTATTATACCTATGAAAGTCACTTCCTCTTTCAATTCGATCACACAAATATCGAGGCAGCAAACCATTAACTACTTTAAAAATCAACATTTACGGCAATCGAATGTGCAGCTTCCAGTGCGAGCGTTTTATGAACTGAAAAAATACACTGTTATTGTTATTGTTGTTGTCAACAAACAGACGTCAAAAGCTTCCAAAAACGTCCACTAGGAGCGCGCTAATAAGCAAAATAGTTTGTTCCATTACTAAGTGGGCCATGCTTTACTGACCAGATGCTATTTGTTACCAGAAATTCTAGGATGTTTTACCATCAAAAACTGTAGAGCTTTACAGTAATCTACACACTTAGAAATTATCGCCGACTTCGGTAATTTTTACCGAAATCTGAACAGCTTAACTGTTCGGTAAAATTTATGCAATTCAATTCAATTGCTTTTCAGCTACTTTGAAACTAAATCTCCACTAAAATGACAAGATTTGATCATTTCAACAAGGTTGAACATGTTTTGAAATTATTTTCAAAGGCTATTGACTTTAAAATGAAGGTCAAAGTTTTACCGAACACGAAAACAAAATCTTAGTGTGTATAAAACAGGAATGTCAATAATTTGCGTATTAAAATATTTACGAACATTCTAAGAGTTGTAAGTTTGTATGTGATTAGTGTCAACCATAAACTAGTCATCTACAGCAAATCAGCTCAATTGTTTGAAGGACAGCTGAAAAATGGCTGTGGATGGACGATACCACCCACCACCCATCACATAGACGGAGGGATTAGTGTAAACAAAACGAGAACTCTCAACAATGCATCAACTACATACCTGTTCAGATCAATTATATCAAGCAGTACGACACAAAAAGCAACCATCACACGACGACCGGCACTACACACTTTTCGCAACCACCAACAACGACTCTCCAAATGTAATACTTTGGCACCATGTGAAGTGATGATTCCCATTTCAAGAGATTGTTTATCTATTATTAAGTTGTTCATTTTCGTTACAGGTTTCAAGAGCAATCATAACTACGGTGAGTAGCAAAACGGTCGATTGCCTTTGTTTCGAATGGTTTGTTGTGCTACTAAGCAGTTTGGCTTCCACTCACTTCCAAATTGATCAATAGCTTCTCGATACGCTTGTGTAGTGCTTACTAACAACAAATCTGGATCCTTATTAATGTTTATGATACTGATTCTGGGGGTACAATTTTGTTGCGAACAAACTCATCAATGGAGCTCGTGAGATTTACCTAATATCAAGTGACGCAATTATTTGTTGATTGAACCTGATGACCCAGCTAGGCAGGCATCCATCCATTCCAGTTCGTCATAAACAACCGCATTAGCAGCGGAAAATTCCTCATAATTTACCATTTGAATGCTCCGAAATAATCGATTGATTCCCAAATCGTTTTTTAAAGTCTTGGGATCGCCTATAGGTTTGATATGGCTATGCAGATTCCATACCGTTTTCCAATTGTCATCTGCATATCGATCGTGATTGAAAGAGAAACTTTCTACAGCAGATCCACCCTCCCAAGAGGCGTGCCTATTCATTAGCAGGTTTAATACCAACGATAACCTATCGAGATCGATTGATGCGGCGCGTTTCCGTAACGTCTCACGAACGAATCGAAACCAAGCCAGGCCTCCACCTGTTGTTGGTGTCTTGACGATGCACAGTGGGCCAGAAATTCAATTTAGGCGACGAACGCAATACCTCTTAAACGAAACATTTTCGAGGATTGGTACTTTTGAAGAAGTTTCTCGCTATAACGGAAACTATCTATTAGCTCAAACAGGTAGTTCGCAACTCATCCGCTTAGATGGCGATAAAATCCAAATTTTTACTCTGACATTGTTTATCTTAATAAAATAAGCAACTTTTCTGAAAACGAGAAAGTTCCACAGCCTGCTGTTTCCGAGTTATTTGGAGAACAAAGACAACAAAATTGGTGACAAAATTATGAAATGTTTTTCATTATGTTTGGCAAACATCTTACATTATATCACCATGTTTAAAATTTCGGAAACGTAGTCCAAAACTATGAAGAATGCCAATTGGTTTGGAAAACTTTTTCGATTTTGACGTGAAATTTTAATAGCTGGCCCATAGTTTGGCGACGTTTGCAAGGTTGGATCGGTTACGTATTATTCCACACACCATACCGCCCAGACAGCCATTGGAAAGAGATACAGATTATACATTTTCTCATCCATGTTTGGTTAATTATCGAAACGCTTTATTTCTGTTTGTTAGAGTGTTGGTCCACATGGGCAAATTCGGGTGAGTATTTCAGTTTATTATCTCAAGGGGTTAGTGAAATAAGAAATTTCCTATGATGAATATAAATTAAAGCGATCCACTTAATCAATTGCTTTTTAACATTCAAACAATCTAAGCTCCATGATATTTTAATTCAAGTTTATGTTAATTAAGTCAGTAAGCTAGTTTTCCGTTTTAATTGATGTGACATTTTGATTTGTGATTTCAAAATGCTAGTTGATAGACGAAAATTCAGCGGTAAGAACACCTCAACAACTTTAAATTCAGTGTTCTTTGTTCGATATTCTGATTAAACTGCTGTCTAGAGCACAATCTACATTTACGAGTCTTTTTAGCATTTGATTACTGCACGAAAGCTTCCACACATCATCAAACATGGATCATAAATCATAAGCCAATTTAGTATGTTTTTATGGATTCCCTCCATCAGTCATGGTGATGTGATGGCACATTCACACCAGCCAGTTGGTGGGTGAATCAATGCAATAGCCGTTTGAATCAATCTATATGTTATGAAATATTGAATCTGTCAAAAAACAAGCAGTCGACTTTATTAGGCCACCCCACGATGGAATTAAGTCGTTAACATTTGTTTTACGACGTGATTTTTTTCCCATAATTTTTGTTACACAGCTAGGATTGATGAGCGCTTTAATTTTTCCAATAACATTTACCATTGCTTACCTGCTTATTTGATACTAAACGGACGAAAATGCCGAATCTACACAGAATGGAGAATCCATTTCCGTTGGACTTGGACATTGACCTTGGAGCCAATCGCTTCCAGTCTTATGTTCTTTTCAATGTACACGAACTGCAAAAATGTGAGATATTACGGAAAAGCTGTGCCTAAAGCATGGCTGGTCTAAAAACAAGTTTAAATATTAGAATTATATACTTTAGGCATAGTTTGGATTTCCTGTTTATAAGAGGATACAAAAGTTAATTTTTGGTCAAGTGCGAATCCAAGATATTTCACTTGGTTTGACCAAATTCACAATACGTTGAGTTTTGGAAGCCTTGGGAGAAATCTTCCATTTTTTGTAAATAAGAAGAGGACATATCTTAACTTTTCTGCAGTCTGCTTCAAATAACACGAAGATTTCTTCCTTTAGCGGAAATGCCTGTGTCATCAGCGAACAAAGATTTGTGGCAACCCTGAGGCAAATCAGGGAGGTCAGAAGTGAAAATATTATTCAATATAGGCCCAAGCATGCTACCCTGAGGAAGTCCAGTTCTAACAGGAGGTCGTTCAGATTTGGAATTTTGATAATTTACCTGCAAAGTTCTGTCAGTTAAATAATTTTGAACTAATTTCATAATATAAAGTGGAAAATTAAACTTTTTCAATTTAGCAATCAAACCTTCATGCCAAACACTGTCGAATGCTTTTTCTATGTCTAGAAGAGCAACTCCAGTTGAGTGGCCTTCAGATTTGTTTGAACGAATTAAATTGGTAGCTCTTAGGAGTTGAATGCCCATGGCGAAATCCAAACTGCTAATCTGCACACATTTTGTTCGTATTGATGTGAAGCATCATTTTATTCAAAAATTATCCTTTCGAAAAGATTGCTTTTCGATGAAAGCAAACTTATTGGACGGTAGCTAGAAGCTTCAGCTGCATTTTTATCCGGCTTCAAAATTGGAACAACTTTTGCATTTTCCATTTATCAGGAAATGGCAACATCTGTTAACTAATTTTAACAAGAAAGAATAGGTACTCTCTGGATGCTTTTTGATGAGGATGTAGAAAATTCCATCATCACCTGGAGCTTCCATATTATGATTTTTAGTTATAGATCTTACTTCGTCCAAATCAGTCCCCCAGGAATCATCAAAAATATCTTCCGAGAGAAAATATTCAGATAGTTCCGAGCAACTTGATTCTCAATAGGACTAGTAAGACCCAAACTGAAATTATCGGAATTCTCGAAATGCTAAGCAAGTTTCTCAATAGTTGAAGATGCTAAGCGTCAGATAACAGACTTAAAGTGGCCATTTTATACGATTGATGAGGGAATGAAAGTATAGGCTTGATAGTTCCGTTAGAGTACGGCGGTGTGAAAATTGTATAGTTATCTGGGAGTTAAAGTACATAACTCTAGATGGGAGCTTACCATCAATCTACTGCCATTGGTCGAAAGGTACAGTAGCAGCACCTCTCAGACCCGTGTCTCTTTGAGATCGTGAAGTCGACGATGTCAGGAGCACATACAATAGTAGAGGCAACAATAGCTGCAATTTCCAAAGATTCACTGGGAGCTGTTTATGATGCCAGCTCTCGGACTCGTCCACCTGTCGGATCCGTCCTGCTCTGAGACCCGTCCAGCTCTTTGAATCTTTTTCGCTCTTGATTCTTCACGATTCAGCCGGATCCGGATCTGAGCTGATGATCTGGAGCTGAAGCCAAGAATAGTGAGATAAATTTTGCTGGAGAATTAACATTAGCTATAAACTCTAGATGTAGACTGGATTGCATAGCATGAGAAAAGGTGTATCATCTCTTGTGATAAAGGTGTAGTTCTTTACGTTTTTGCATTTGTGTCAACATTTCTATAATTTAAATGTGACCTGAAGAGTTGTTCGAAAGAATCGACTCCCCTTAGAGAACTGAACGGGTCTGATCCGCTCAGCCAGGTGAGCTGTTTTGTCCTCCTCTACCACCTACGGACATTTTTCAGACGGATTAAGAGCTGACAATTGTCGTCCATTATAATTGAATCAAATTTAACCTCGCATTTTGGTACTGAGGCAGCTCTTGCTTCAACTGTAGAAGTAGTCAGAGATGCAAGAGCATTATTAAGATCAAAGTTTGCAAAGGAATGTTTGCATCCAAGTTATATTCGATAAATGTTCGATATTGCTCCCAATCAGCTCTATGGCAATTGAAAGTAGAGCTATGGGGATTAGAAATAACATTCAATCAAAGTGTGTTGTTATTTTGTACGTGATCGAAATTCACGACTTTCAGAGTTGGTTGAAAATGCTACATAGATCATTAAGCTAAGCCGAGATTTTTGTTTCTAAAGATTTTCCATTCTAAATATTTTCTCATTGCTAAATTAACTGAAATAAAATTAAAGCCAAGGAAATATAGATTGAAAATAGAAGATTGTAAAAAAACAAACAACATAATTATAATATGGCGGAGGCATAAAAGTTGATTTTCATGGGCCATTTGTGAAAAAGTTATTTTGCTTTCAAGAAATCCTTAACAAATTCATAAGGTTTTGAAATAGCTTTCATGAAGAAAACATCTAGACTGAATTGTATTTATCTTAAGCCATTTTGCATGATCCTAACCCGTTCAGATTTATGGCAGCATTTATGGCGGCAATGTTTCCTACAAAATGTTAAACGTCAAAGTTTGTTTATCTTTCGATAGTTGCGCTGTGCAATTCAGCGTTCTCAAAGGCGATTCTCTCCCGATAGCTTGGAAGCAGTTACTCAGAAAGTGTTCATAACATTTTGCACAGCTGTAACCTCGATCATTTCCGAAAAGATCCCCTTCTTCCGGATGGTTCTGGAAGTGCACTATCAAATGATGCAGGAATGTACGGTTGAATGAATTTTTTCCAAGTGATGACCCTTTTGCCGAATAAAATCGCAGCTATGGATCGGAAACCAACTAGTGTCCGCTAACTGACAGTTTCAGTGGTTTGCTATCGGTACTGACACAAGTTAGTCCGATCTTCATCTATTCGCATGGTCTGGAGAAGGCTGGTCTGTTTTCAGACTGTTTTG